TCTAGTGAAGGCTATGGTTTTTCCAGTGGTCATGTATGGATGTGAGAGTTGGACTGTGAAGAAAGCTGATCGCCGAAAAATTGATGCTTTTGACTGTGGTGTTGGAGAAGACTCTTGAGAGTCCCTTGTACTGCAAGGAGATTCCAACCAGTCCATCTTAAAGGAAATCAGTCCTGGGTGTTCATTGGAAGACCTGATGCTGAAGGTGATACTCCAATACTTTGGCCACCTGATGTGAAGAGTTGACTCATTGGAAAAGATCCTAATGCTGGGAGGGACTGGGGGCAGGAGGAGAAGGGGACAACAGAGGATGAGATGGTTGGATGGCATCACTGACTCAATGGACATGAGTTTGACTAAACTCTGGGAGTTGGTGATGGATAGGGAGACCTGGCATGCTGCGATTCATGGGGTTGCAAAGAGTCGAACATGACTGAGCGAACTGAACTGAACTGAACTGAATCAGTAATAAGCTGCAATATTGCATTCAGTTGTCCCCCTGGACAAACAAGAGTGCAAGGAATATTCATTTACATATCTCCTCTTCTAGGTGGGTGAGCTTGCCTGGCTTATGTACCTCGAAATGGAATTTCTGGGTCTTAGGGGATGGCTCTCTATACACAATACTATACTAGATATTGTGAAATTCTTCTCCTTATTAGGGTACTTTCAGCTTCAAATAGCAGACAATGGATTTCAAAGCGGCTTAAATAAAGAAATTTATTACCTCACATATCAAGAATTCCAGAAGTAGGGATGCTCTAGGCTTGACTTTTTCATTGATTGTGTCTTGCTCTCTCCTCTTGGCTGCAAAGAATCAAGTGCAGACAAAACAATGGCCAAAGTCATTGTATCTTTTTATTTCCTTTGAAGAGCAGGGAAACTTCCTAAAATAGCTTTCTTTCATGTCTTATTGGCTAGAACTGAATCACATGTCAGTGTCTAAATTGATAACTTACAAGATAAGACCATGATGACTGGGTCGGGGAAAGGGCCAGTTATCCTCGAAGAACATTATCAGGAGGAAGGAGATACCGGCACAAAATATGCTGTTAGGACGGAAGGCGGGGATGGTGGATGACAAGTAGGCAGTAAGTAGTGTCTGCTTTATTTCTAAAGAGGCTGCTACATTCCCATCAGTAGCAAATGAGTCCTTGATTATCAGAGCTTTTGTTTGTTTTTGGGAATCTAATGAGCATGAAAAAATACTCTTTATTGTATTCCTTAGCATTTTTCTGCTTCTGGTGGGTTGCTTACCTTTCCAGACATTTATAGGCCTTCTGGGTTTTCTCTTCTGCGAAAAGCCTTATTTATGTTTTTGCCTAGTATCCTCTAGAATCATATGCGTTTTTCTTATTGATTTGTAACAGTTTCAAAAGTATATTCTGAATAATAATTGTCTCTAAAGTTGTGTTAGAAATGCTTTCTGCCAATAAATGGCTTGTCTTTTTACTTTTACTTTTTTTTTTTTTTTTAAGGCAGATAGAGGCTTGTCTTTTATTGAATGAGTGATCTATGCAATTGCCGAGGCCACTATGTACAGAGAGGAGGGGGAGAACTTTATTTCTTGGTCTCTTCCTCCTTGGACAGAGTCTTGATGATTTCCTCCTTCTTGGCCTGGGGCCGCTTTTCCCGGCGCTTGCAGGCTTGCTTGGTCTTAGACCTGCGGGCCTCAGCCTGGTCCCCAGGAGCTTCTTGCGAGCCTTGTCTGCTTTCAGCTTGTGGATATGTTCCATGAGAATCCGTTTGTTTTTGAACACGTTACCCTTCACCTTCAGGTACAGGCTGTGATACATGTGGCGGTCAATCTTCTTAGATTCACAGTATCGTCTGAGCAGCCGGCGCAGAATTCTCATCCTCCTCATCCAGGTTACCTTCTCAGGCATTCGAGCATTGGCAGTACCCTTTCGCTTACCTACACCCATATGCCTGCCCTTCCGTCGAGCCAAGGTGTTTTTCTGGCATCGAGCCTGGGAATGGACAGTCACAGGCTTCCGGATGATTAGCCCATCTTTGATCAGCTTCCGGATCTGCTGGCGGGAGTTGGCATTGGCGATTTCATTAGTCTCATTGGGGTCCAACCAGACCTTCTTTTTGCCACAGTGAAGGACGCTGGAGGCAAGGCTCTTCTGAAGCCTGAGCATACTCATGGCCGCAGCCGCAGCGGCGAAAGGAAAGCTTACTTTTAATTTAAAAAAGAAGTTTCTATAACTTAAAGGTTTGTATTTTTTATGTCTAGTCCAAAAATTATCTTCTACGTGAAGGTCATACAAATATTATTCTATTCTTTTTCTTACTGAATGTTAAGTGACTAGCAACTTTTTGTATATGTATACTAGTAATTTTTTAAAGTAATGTGAGTACTCTTCGTTAGAATCTGTAAGATCAAAACTGCTTTTATGATGGTATTAAATGTTGTCTTTTTCACTCAATATTTTATACATGTAAAGTGGAATCTTTCAGAGGCTGTATGGCCTGTAATCTCACAGCAAATTGAAAATATCAAAGCAGAGATGGGACCCAGTTGTCCCTTCTTATATTGAACATTAAAGTGATTTGTGAGACTAACAGTGATATTGTTCTGAATAAGTTTGTTTGTTTGTTTGTTGGAGATGACTTTTTTCCTCACAAGATATTTATGTAGATGTATTTGTGATTTATTCTTTAAAATATTGAATTTATAAGTATTTTTAAAAATTCCATTTTAATTTCTAATGTATTAAAGCATTGAGAAATATAATCCACATAAATGAAAGCTCTTTGGAATTCTCAATAATTTTTAAGAATCTAAAGGAGTCCTGAAACCAAAAATCTGCGAAAGTTTGCTGTACATGAACAGTAATTTTTAGTTCAGAAATTCTCTTGCCTCGTAGCTATGTATCCAAAATTAGAACCTTTATTTCATTGTCCTTGGAAAATATGATTTGGAAAACAATTCTGTTCCCATATACATTGTGTATTAGCTAGAGTAAAGATTAATTAACTTAAATTTTTATCACCCATCAACTGCAATCATCCATTAGCCCAATGGGTACCATAAGAGAATAGAAAAAGTGTGAAATTTAGTGTCGGACTGGGGTACCACAAAATAATAGAAAGAGCGTAAATTTTGGTGTCAGACAGACCTGGCTTTGGATCTCCAGCATGGACACTGTAGCTTAGCTAGTAACCCAGTCTGTCTGAAGCTTGGGGTGGGGACGGCGTAGTCCCTCTGCTAGTGTGTCTTTGTCCTTAGGAGGGGGAGAGTGTGGCTGAGCGGAGCGCCTGGGGAAGCAGGTCCTGACTCGGCTGCACACTGCTGGGTCTTAATTAAGTCGTGCGTGCCCCCACTGCTCAGCGCTGTGGTTAAGGGCATCAGCTTCATAGCCAGATCCCTTGGTGCATAGCCCAATTAATTAATTAATTAATGCTCAGTTAATTAATTTGTGGGTGAATTACTTAGCCTGTGTGTGTTTTTGAATATCCTAAAATGTAAATTTGGAGTAATAGTACTCTTTATGCCATAAGGGTAATTGTGAGAATTAACTGAGTTACAATGTTTAAAACCCTTTTACAGTTTTGCCATGTAGTATTAATAAATGCTTACCTTTTCAGTTATACTTGCTGTTACTATTAGCTATTAGCTGAAGTATTTCTCTGTTGCCTCATAATAAACCACCCCCAAACCATAGTGCCCTTGAAACAAAAACAATAATATATTTTGTGTACAATCTCAGTAGTTACAGATCATCTCCGTCTACAGTGGCATTAGCTAGAGTGGCTGACCTGGGGCCTGGAGAATATACCTTCAAGTTGGATGACTCACACAGTTGATGCTGACTTCTGCTTAGAGCGCAGCCAGGGCTGCTTGCTGGGGACCTCTGTACTCTCCAGGTTGGCCTCTTCATAGGTGTGGTGGCTGGGTTTTAGGAATGAGCATCTCAGGAGAAACACAGAGAAGTCCATCAGATTTTTATAACTTGTCCTCAGTAGTCACCTACTTATATGATTTCCATTAGTCACAAATCCATCCAGATTTAAGAGGGAACACAGACACCCTCCTCTCCATGGGAGTGTCAGAGTCACAGAAGACTGTGAGGACTGGGAAATACTGTTGCAGTCATCTTCAGCAAGTACAGTTTGCCACAGTAGTAGTCTCCTGATCTATGAGATAACATAATAATATTGTCATTCTTAATCACCAGCAGAAACAGTCTCAACTGTGTGTATCAGAACTATCTTAGCATATTTTACAAAATGTAGATGGTGGGCAACTTTTCATTTCTTTTTAGTATTTTTCTCTATTTCCTGCCTTTTTTCAATATTGGGCACTTATTAATATAATAAAAAATTTAAATGAGGATTAACTATTTTGACAGTATATTGATGTATTCTCTATTCTATGAATATGGAATTTTTTAAGTTGAAATGAAAATCTGTTTTACTCCTTGTTTCTCAGTTTGGTCATACTTCTAGTGCAGTGACCTCTAGAATAAAGGAAAAGGAAGACAGGAAATGATCCTGTTCACAAATATTTCTAGGTTAAATGTTGTGTTCCTTAGGGCAAGCCTCGGTCACCAAATATAGCCCATAAAGCCATGAAATGTGGTTCTCACTGCCTTATCCTTAGAACTGCAGGTTGCAGACCAATGATGAACTGCTGGTGAACTTGGGCAGAGAGCAATTTCTATTCACCTGTCAGGAAATTCATACACACAGTAAATATGTGAGTACATTTGATAATGATAAGATTCACACAAATGAATGTGTAAATAAGGTGGCACTCTTGAGATTTTGGGAAGTGGCCAAAAGTTTTATCCCCCGCTAAAACTTTGTATCTGCCTGTGATCTCACACAAAGCCGTCTCTTTGACTTAAATGCGTCTTATTCTAAAAGATGCCAAGAATAGTTCTTTGAAACATCCAGCTTCTTTTTGCAGCTGTAATATACTTTTCCCTTCAAATGGCAAAATTATTCATTTTAAAAAGCAAAGACCATTTCAGGTTTGAGGTGAAAGCAGAGTGAAATATGGAGGTAAAGGATCAGTTTCAAAGAAGAACAGTTCTTTTTAACACTTTAGTCTACTTTGAAGTAGCAGGTGTTGTTACGTATACAGGGAATAGTAAAATACTCAGAAATAAAGAGCATACTGAATGTCACTATAAAAGGAGTTCTTGCGACTTCCTGAGTAGATTAATTTACTCCTGGGGATAGTTTACAAGATAGTTGATTTTTGACTCAGTATAGTTTTCATTTATTGAGCACATATTATGTTCCAAGCCCTCTCCTGTGCACTTTACTTACTGATATTAATTCCTTCAATTCTCTCAACACCCCTGTGATGTAGTTAGTACCATTATCCCTGTTTATAGCCTAGAACAAAATAGTTAAAAACTTGCCCAAGATCACAAAGTACAACAATCAGGCTTCATATCCAGGTTGACTAGCTCTAGTATCCAGGGTTTTATGTGCTTCTTATTGTGTTGCAGATGAGTTTTGGTTTTGTTTGTTTGTTAAATTATAGTACTTGGAAATTTTGCATTAGGTGATTTTAATTTTGGAATAATTGCTTGGAAATTTTGGACTAGGTCAAGAGAATATAGTAGGGTTAGGGATTCTTTCAGAGTTCACATATGAAAACCAAGGGCAAGGCAGATGACAGAAAGGAAGATGAGGCAGTAAATTATTACATTTCAGGCTCATTGCTCGAGTTTCTTTGCATCTGGAAGTCAGGTCTAATGTTTTTAGAATCTGGGACAAGGTTTGAGACCCTATGCTGCTATTTGTAATAAGAATTTGAGTGAGTTACTTCATCTCTTCTGGGAATGTTAACAGCTGTCCCACCAGCCTCAGGGAGTTGTTGGAAAGAGCAAATGAATGAATTATCATGGTTACAAATCTAGTCGCAAAATATAAAGTCCGTGTTAGTTATTATTATAATGTTATTATTATAATTAAGAACAATTAAGCATTGTTAAGCAACATTTCTTTTATACCTACCTACATTTCAGAAATATCTGTTTTGAAAATCACATTTTATAGGTTGTCCTTTCATGTGATACAAGGTTTATCAACTGTTTAGAATGATGCTTAGCTTATGATCACATTCAATAGAATCTACTAGTTATTCATCAATTTCTAGCAGATGTCTTCAGTTTGAGGAAGCAATAAAAGGACAATATCTCCTTCTCTTCAGACAGAAGCTGCCAAACTAAGAGCTGAAACATGGGGCTAAGAAGACTTTCCTAGTTGGGAGGGCCTGTGTGCTACTGAGGAGACTTAGAAATTGAATTCACATCTTCAGTGTTCAGTGATAATAATCCCTCTCATTTATATTATCTTATTTATGTACTCATGTGCCAAGGCTGATCTGTTCATGGTGGCCCTCTGAGTACTGTTAAGTATTCCAAGGTCACATCCAGGTTGATAAGATAGAGCATTATGATCTCTGCCTCCAGTGTCTGCCATCCTTAGACAATCCTTTGAAGTTTCTGAGATACTTCTGATTCTACTTCTTAATCATGCCATTGCTGCAGTCAGGGTTATCAGTATTCTTCCATAACACAGGAGACAGACTGTGCCCCCTTTTCTCTATCTCTGTGTTTTTCCCACTAGAGCATATGGTCATGGCTTTGTGAAGCCCTTCACAGGTCTCAGCCCTTTTCTTAAAGTCTAGCATGGATCTGGACACATAACAGATTATCCATATAGTTTTGCTGAATTAAATGTTAGTGATTTCAGTCGTAGCTGAATGATTGAGAATAGAGCCTTAAATGATTAAGGTTTTTACTCTTAATCATTTAAGAATAATGATTAAGATTAAAAACCTTAAACCTAAAAATGGAGCTGTTAGCACTTTGCTCATTTTCCCTAAATACCAGCCTTTACAGTTTCTGTAAAGCATGTCACTCCCGTAGGTGGAAAGCATGCGTGTGTGTGTTCAGCCACTGCAGTCATGTCCAGTTCTTTGTGACCCCAGGGACTGCAGCCCAACAGACCCCTCTGCCCATGGGCTTCCAGGCGAGAATGCTGGAGTGTGTTGCCACGCCCTCCTCCAGGCTATGTTCCTGGCCCAGGGATCAAACCTGCATCTCCTGCATTGCAGGCAGATTCTTCACTGCTGAGCCGCCAGGGAAACCTGGTTTAAAGGATGAACAGGCTAATGTAACTGCCTGATGTGGTTCTCAGGTCATTTTTGTCAGAACGGTCAGCAGACTAGGCAGCTGTCTAGAAGCCATGAAAGTTTGTGAACAGGATGTCAAAAAAGGAGTCAGCATAATCTAGTGACCCTGGGAAGTAGGGAGAAAAGGTCAGGAGTTAGGATGCCTGCTTCTTCCCAGTGAATCCTTCTGACATTTAAGGTTCTTATGTTTTTTCTACAGCTCACCTTAACCTTTTATTTTCTTTGTGTATGCCCAGCAGTTTTATTTTCTACATCCATTTACTGATGTCTGTGGTTTATTTGTACATTTCACTTCCTTTTCTAGCTGTTTAATAAAGGTCATGTTTTTAACTACAGTGTTGATGGTTTGTGAAGTAGACCCAGACATCACTTCTGTAATGTCCGGTGGAATCCACAAGACAAAAAGGAGTTTCTGAGTTTTCATAGATCTGAGTAATGACTTTTGGTCTACAGAAATATAGATTCTAGTAATAATAATGCCAGGGACCTACTGGTTACTGTCATAAAATTAATCTTTTTAAAGTGAACAATTTAGTGATATTTAATACATTCACAATCCAGTTCCAAAACATTTCATCCCCTCAGAAGGAAAGCTGTGCCCGTTAGATAGTTACTCTGCACTGTCTCCCACCTACCCTAGCTCCTGCCAGCTAACAGTCTCTTTTCTGTTTCTATGGATGTGACTATCTGAACTGTTCATGTAAGTGGAACTGTACTATTTATGTATGGCTTCTTTCAGTTATAATGTTTTAATTTTTTTATGGCTAGGTAATATTCCAATGTGTATGTGTGTGTGTATATATATATATATATATATATACACACCAAAATTTGTCTATCCATTCTTCAGTTGATGAACATTTGGATAGTTTCTATACTCTTGCTATTATGAATAATGCTTCTGTAAACTTTAGTGTACAAATTTCTGTGTGGGAATAAATTTTCATTTCTCTGGGTCATTGTAATTTCAATTGTAAATTCTAGTCCAATTTATCTATTTTTTTCTTTTGTTACTTTTTTTTTTTTTTTTTATCATCAAAGCTAAGAATTCATTGCCAAATCTCAGGTCATGAAGGTATACTACTGCAGTTACAGCTTTCATCCTTATGTTTTGGCTGTTTGTCTATCTGCAGTTAGAGTTTATATATGGAGTGTAGTAGGGTACAGTTTAATTCTTTTGCAGATGGGTGTCCAGTCATGCCTGGAGAAGGAGGTAGCAGCGCTCTCCAGTGTTCTTGCCTGGTAGATCCCATGGACAGAGGAGTCTGGAGGGCTGTAGTCTATGCAGTTGCAGAAAAGCTGGACACGACTTAGCGACTAAACAGCAACAACAGCATTCAGAGTTATTCCAGTACCATCTGTTGATGACACTGTTCTTTTCACCTTAAATAATCATGGCACTTTTAATGAAATTTGAATGACCGTACGTATTTGGGCTTAATTCTGGGCTCTCAGTTTTATTTCACTGATCCATGTGTCTGTCCTACATGAGCACCTCTGTTTTGATTAATGTGTTTTGAAATTAAGAAGTGTGGGTCCTGCAATTTTGTTTTTCCTTTTCAGTGTTGTTTTAGCTTTTAGAAGCCCCTTAAAATTCCATACAAAGTTGAGAGGTGACTTTTAAAATTATGCAAAAAAGAAAGCCATTGGATTTTGATAGTTTTTGAAAATCTATTCTGCCAATCTCTGACTTTTGGTTGGTGAGTTAATTCATTTGCATTCATATTAATTAATAAGGAACAGCTTCCTCCTGCCAT